TTATTTATGTATGCATACAGAACTGGGGTACAGGCCAGAGGTGTAGGGGGTGAGAGGATTCACCAGAGACAGGGTGGGGAGCAGAACAGGCCGGTCTACTGAAATACACTGCTGAGGGGAGCAGCGGGTGGGTCAGGAGAGGTCTGTCACACCCTGCGGGTCACCTCCCTGGAGGGATTGAACTCATGCTGCAGTGCTGCAACAGCTTCACTGTGCTGCGCTTTAACCCAGCTTTAACCCATCACGTCACCAGGGAGGGCCCTCCACAGAGTCCTTTTGTATACTTTCAAAGAGAGTTTATTGCATACAAAAGCACATATTTTCCTTTTTAAAAACACACAATAAATACTCAAGTCTTATCATTCATTGAAACCACTCACACAGTGGAATATTATGTTGCTGATAAAAAGAAAAGAGGTAGCTCTCTGGGCTCTGATTTGACCAGACGTAGAAGATCTTTTAGGTTAAAGATAACAAGTGTCAGAATAGAATTCCAGTCACAAAATAATGTCTGGGAGTCAATGAGGGGGATTTTCCTTTTAACTTGAGACATTTTGTGTGGATGTTTTAAAATGAGCTTTTCTTATTTTATTATTTTTGGAAGAAAAAATCAAGAAAGAGGGAAGACTTCTAAATCATGAGAAGCTTGGGAACAGCACTGGGAAGCAGATCTTCTTTCTACAAGCTACAGATTCTTCTCCCCAGCCCAGGATGACCCTGCCTGCTGACCTCCCTCGCGGCACTCTTTCTACCTGACAGCTTGCCACCAAGAGACGAGATACACATTTCCTTGGTAGCGAGTCTTGTTCTGTGTTCCTAAAATAATTCCTGCAATGTAGTCAAAAACCAAAGTTCTGCTTCAGATGCTCTCAGTGAATAAATCATGGAAATTGAGGCTGTCAAACTGGAAGGCGCCTTAGAGATGATGTAGGCCAATCCCCTCATTTACAAATGGAAACAATGAAATGTGTTCCTGAGAAGTCAGTTGTCACGAAAGTTTGGGAAATAAAATTTATTTTCCGGTGAAAAAATCAGAAATGTGTCCTCACAGTGGAGATTTTTACTATAAGCGTCTATTAACGTGGTCCATCTGAAATCTTCTACATTGCTAGTGAGAACAAGATTTAGTAAATTGTTTTGAGAGGGATCTGACAATATCTCCCAAAGGTGATGGGACAATTCCCTCCTAGATATATATTTATAGTAATAGGCACATAAGAATATCTACACAAAAATGATCATAGTAGACCTAAGTATGAGCCAGAAACTGGAGCTTATCTGCCCATCAACAGCAAATGGATAAATAAATGGTGGCATATTCATGAAATGGAATGCTACTCACTAGTGAAAAATGTGTGAATTAGAGCCACGTGTTACAATGTGGATAGTTTCCACAAATATACCAGTAAACAGAAAACAAAAATTTGCAGAAGAGTACATAGCATAGCAGGGATATAAATTTTTAAAACATATAAAGCAGCAGTATGTGTTATTTAAAGACACACACATATGTCACACAAGTATAAATAAATGCATGAGAATAACAAACATGAAATCTAGGATTGTGGTTACTTGGGAGAGAGGGGGATGGAGCTATAAATGTGTAAGATGCAAATGTTGCTCTCAAAATGACAAAATTGTTCCTTCAAGCTGTTTCATTTTCCTGCCACAGTTTCAGGGCAAGGAACTTGGTAGAGAAGCAGCGGTTGGGCACAGCAGGTGTGGAATCCAGAGAAATGGGTTCCACTCCCTCAGATACCAGCTACAGGGGCACAATTCCATTCACGTCTCAGTTTTGTTTTGTTTTGTTTTGTTTTTTTTTACATTTAAAAATGCAGCATTGTGGAGAAAGACAAACACCACGTGATTTCACTCATATGTGGACGATAAAGAAACAAAGGAAATGAACAAACCCAAACCAGAAACAAACTCTCAGATTCAAAAAACAGACTGGTGGTTGCCGGAAGGGAAGCAGGCTGGGGTGGGTGAAATGGGGAAAAAATTGTCAGCTGTGTGGTGGTGGATGGAAACCAGACTTTGGGTGGGGTCATAATGTACTATAGTGTGGAGGCATGATGCTCTATACCTGAAACTTACATAATGTTATAAAACAAAGCTACTTCAATTTTTTTTAAATGTGGGATTGTTATTACAATACAAAACACAACAAAACAATACAAAAAGAAACCATTATAAACCGGAGAGAGATCCTGCAGGGGAGGGGGACAGGTCGGGAGGAATGTGGGGGCTCTGGTGATGACCTGTGGGGGGTGGGGCAAGTAAACATCGTTATAAAATGATCAATAATGTAAATCGGTATATACAAATAAATAAAAATAAATAAATGCAGAATTGGACTAGATTATTTTATAAATTTTTTTACAAGTGACCATATCATTCAGTTGTTTTATTTTACTTGGGTACCAATTCCATAACAAGGTGTCTGCAAGATGTTGAAGGGTTTTGATATAGAAAAAAAGTATGCCTTGGTCAAATTTGTTTGGTACATACAGCTAACTCCACTCCTTCCCCCACTGCCTGAAGGAGAAAGTTCCCATTTGGTATAATTTGCTAGATTCTTTTTTAAAAAAAGATTTATTTTATTTAGTTATGCATAAAAGAGGTGGGTGTAGGCCAGAGGTGTGTGTGTTTGGGGGTTGGGGGCGGTGTGGATGAGAGGATTCACCAGAGACAGTGGGGAGCAGAATAGGTTGACTGAAATACACTGCTGAGGCGAGCAGCGGGTAAGACAGGAGAGGCCTGCTGGGCCATGTGGGTCAGCTGCCTGGCAGGGGATTGGACTCTGTCCAGTGGCTGTGGAGAGCCACCAGGGAGGCCCCTAACTGGATAGATTCTTCTGGGGGTCTCGAAACACTATTACCAGTGATTTACATCTAAAATATTTTAAGCGTTCCCATAGCCCACCAAATAACCTACCAAATTATCCCAAAGAACAACAGTCCACATTAGGATAGTGACAGAAACCTGACTGAAGTAGAGTTAAAGAAAATGGGACAGATTTCCTAACAGCAGTGTCTCCCAGCCTTGAACAAGTTTGTAGACATTGTTGCTCTCCAAGAGGAGATTCAGCAATGAAGCAGTCTCCAAAAAACACTGAAACTAGAGTGCCCTCCCACCCCACCTCCACTCTTATTTTAAAACAGACTCTATTAACATTCCCTCAGAAGAGTGTTCTGTGGAGCATTGGTTTGGTAATGGGTGTCCTAGAAGAATCTAGCTCACTAGCTATTTTAATGGCTGGTGTGCATCACAGTCTAACTTCCACAGAGTGGGCTTCCTGGGGGTGAGTATCCCTGGCAAGTTTAGAGTGAATCTTCTTGGGCATCATCAGTGAAAGCCCATTTGATCTGGCATTGGGGCCAATTCAGCCAGAATTCTGGCCTTCGAGAGCAGGATAGGATAGGCGCGTGTCACAGATGGGCTCCCAGCAGCTGACTCTTGGGTCTTTGCTAAGTTTGCTGCTTTGAGGCACAGTCCCATCCTTTAGGGACAGCAGCAGCAAAGGGTGCTCTGTCTAGAACTCAGTTACTTGGTGCGTATGGCATGGCCAAGGAGCTGGTGGCATGGCGGGGGTGCTCTTTTCATGTGTATTCAACCCCCAGGAATAGCTTGCAGGAGGTAGAACTGCAGGATAGAAGCCAGCCCCCACCCCCCACCCCCCAGGGAAAGAGGCCTCAGCTTTCTTTCACCGAGAGGACACTTTATATCACTTCCACCTGCTGCCCAGCTCTCCAGGGGAGTTTCTTTGGAAGTCCCCCAGATTCTCTGAAACCATCTGCTCCTCTTCCCCTCTGCCCCCACCCCCCCAAACAAGGGAAACTGTTGAGATTTGAGGCTCCTGCCAGGCATTTTAAAAGGTGATCGACTCAAGTACTTTCAATCCCAAAACAAGGATTTCTTTGGAAAAGTCAGGAACTAAAGTGAACTCGACATAGCGGTTTCTGAAGGCTTTTGTTCTTTTGAACAATCAAAAAGAAGACGCAAGAGACAAGAATGCTCTTTTCCAGACAGCATGCAGCGTGTTCATGGAAGCTGGCAGCGGTTGTGGTTGCCCAGCTCTGTCCACCTCTGCCCAGCCCAGCCCAGCTCAGCTCAGTTACCTGCTTGGGCCCCGCACACCCACAAAGCTCCCAGGTCCTACCTGCCCACCAGAGGAGGCTAAGCCCAAGCCACCCTCAGTCTCAGGCCCACTCCCAGGCTGGGGCAGGGCCTGATGTCATGGGAAGGCACAGAGTGCAGAGAAAGCAGCTGTTTGACTCCATAAACCTTATTGCAAAGCGCTCCTGGCTATGCTCGTAATAGTACAGCGATGCCTCCTGGTGATGGGGGCAGAAAGGAAACCAAGGGGAGAAGCTGCAGAAAATGCAAGCCGGGAGGTGCATGAAGAGACTCCGCTGCACCTCCCGCCCCAGGCTCCTAGGTCAGCGCCCTGTGCACTTCGGGGCTGCACGCTGGTGTCCTGTCTGCTGACCAGAACCCTTCTCTGTTCCCGGAAGCTGCTCCGAGGTCCCATACTTGCGTTCTCCTCCCTTTCCAGACAATGCTTTTCACACCTCCTTCCCTTCTCTCCCATCAGGAAATCCACCCTTGGACAAAAAGCATGTCATTGAAAACAGACAGAGCAAATAAACAAGTAAACAGACACCCTTCTCCTCTCAGAGCTGCAAACTGGCCCTTTCTCTTACTCATTTTTAGACCACAGTTGCTGAAGGGGCTTGAGTTTCCATTCCTGGTTGTCTTTTCCCCTCCTCTATGAATCCAAGCAGTGGCTACTTCATTGTGGGCATTTTTTAATGCAAGTTTTACCCAAAGGCATAAGCAGTCAGGCAGGCGCGTGCACGTGCGTGCGCTCGCGTGTACGCGCGCACACACACACACACACACACACACACAACCTCTGGAGCTTCCCCTCCCTCAGTTCATTCCCCTCAGCCAGCCGAAAAAGGGTGAGGTTTGGAAATCATTTCTCTGTGGCCTACCTTCTGATTCCTTCAGGTCTGAGGAGCAGGCGGCAACTGGGAGCTGGGAGGCCCGGGCTGCCTCTGTGAATCAGCAAAGAAGTCCCTGAGACAGGGATGCCGACAGCTGCTGTGTGCACACTCTCCCTCTGTCTCTCCCACCTCCCTGCCCTCCTTCTCCTCCTCCTCCCCTCTCAGAGCTGCTCTGTGTTGCTATGCAATCATATCTCTGGGGCTAACAGCATCACTCCGACCTCAGGCAAAAATACCCTTGGCTGGGCAAATGCAGAAAGAGCAAGGACAGTTTTGCAAAACTACCAGAGCCTTGGCGGCTCTCAGAGATTTCAATTCATTAGAAGCGGAGCAGGGAAGCGGAAGAGGCTGAGAGGCAGAGGGGGTGAGGGGGAGAGGCTTCCACTGGGGAGGAGGAGACAAAAGACGCTGGAGATCAATACCAGCCGCTGAGCGCTGAGCGGCTGAGCAGGAGGAGCCTGGGCCCCAACTTGCACAGACTGAGCCCAGAGCCAAGGCTAACTTTGGAGCCAGCAGCTGGCAGGGCCCTTCGGTAGCCAGTCCAGGATTCAGTTTCTGTGTTGAAGGTTGAAACACTCTGCTCTAGAATTGTCATTGGTGCCCAAGGTAGAGTCTTGGGCCCAGGGCAGCCTGCCAGCCACCTCTAAGTCCTGGCCTCACCCCCTCCTAGATCTACATGCAGAGAGAGCCTCAACAGTGATGGAAAGAAATGGATCTTGAATGATTTCAGAAAATCAAGTGCTCCCCTCAGCAACTCCTCGATGTCTCTCTTTTTGCTGTCACCCCTGTGGAAGAGAGGATAGTATGAGTGACAAACATCCCAAGAGACCTGGGAGAAGTCGCTGAAGGATGGGGGGGACTATATGCCTTCTCGGAGTGCCTGGCACATAGTAACATAATAAATATTTGTGGAGTGAGGGGATTGTGAGGATGGATGGATACATGAAGAGCAGTCAGAGAGCCCCGCCCCCCCCCCCCCCATCCTGCTACACAAACACTTCCGAGCCCAACAGTTCAAGCCAGGGCGAAGGATAAGAATAGCATCTTGCTCTCTTCCCTCCATTTCCAAGAACAGGATGTATATGAGACAGAGACACTGCTTGGTTTGGGGGCGGGTTGCTCAACTTCACTGATTTGCCTCTGAAAGCTCTGATGGCAACCCTTGGATTTAGAGCAGAAAATACTTCCTGGTCCAAAGGGCCTGGGGCTGGTGTTTAAAAATGTGTTTGAGGGCCCTCCCTGGTGGCGCAGCGGGTTAAAGCACAGCACCATGAGGCTAAAGCCACTGCAGCACTAGTTGGATCCCCACCCCGCAGGTGACCCACATGGCGCGGCAGACCTCTCCTGACCCGCCCGCTCTCAGCACTGTACTTCATCAGCCTGTTTTGCTCCCCACTCTGTCTCTGGTGAATCCTCTCACTGCCCCTGCACCTCTGGCCTGAACCCCAGTTCTGTATGCACAAATAAAAAATCTTTTAAAAAATGCATTTGAAGTCTGAGAGTCATCATCATCACTATTGAAAACTCTGACAGTGGGTATGGAATGTGTGTGTGTTTCCTTTTGAGATGAAATTTTACGAACTTAAGCTGCTAGCTTCAGTAAAAGGTGAGTGGTAAGACAGGCTTGACCTCTTCAAAACAAGCAAACAAAAAGGGAACAAGTTGCCTCCTCCCCCAAGCTAGGCTAGGCCTGTGCGGACCTTCCTGACTGGCCCAAAGTGGTAGCAGCCAGGTCCCCAGGCAGGTGCAAGAAAGGGCCTTTGATTTCTGGAAGGGCTCTTGGAACCACATCAGCCTTCTCAGCTCACAACCCCGCAACAGGGCATTTGTTAGCCATCCGGCCTAGTTCAGACCTGGCCCTGAGTCTTACCCTGGCAACTTGCAGGGTTTCGCAACATCACCCAGAACCAAGATACCCGGAAACCTTTGCAACGGACTTGGAATGACTTGGGAGTGTGTTTGGGGGTGGGAGGGTGGCTAGCAGAATGACCACAGGAAATGTTGGATCCGGTTGGTACAGATGGCAGGCGGATCTCCTCCCCCTGACCTCCTGAAGCTGCTCAAGCCAGAGGTGACAACCCCTGCACAGTGCCTTGGTCTCAGTCCGACCCCTGGCATCCTGAGTCGGGACACTGCAGGGAATGGGGTGGACTTAAGCTGCCATTCTTTTTATTATTATTATTATTAATTTTATAATAGTTTATTTTTACATCATTTTGTGCATTTTTCCATCTCAGTTGCAATCCCCTTGGGCTCCCCATCACCAAATCACCCAGGTGCCATCACCATAGTCCAGTGCACTTCCCTCCCCCCACTGTTTTTGACCCCATTCCCCACTCCACCCCCGCAAAATGTCTCTGGTCTATACCTGTTCATCATTATCATTATTTTCTCGCCTGTTCCGTTATATTCCTAAGCAGCCATTCTTTGGGAGTCCTTATAAGTGGAAGGCCCCAGGGCTCTCAGGCTCTTTTTCGTAGAAGTTCCTGGGAAACGCAGCTGATGTGCTGCATGGTATAACTTTGTGCCCCCTAGGCCGGGGGGGGGTGAACCCCCCACCTTAGCAACTGCAGACGTCTGCCATACCCTGTCAGCTCCTGTAGCTTCAGCTCCATCTCATACGGCTGATTGATAACTGGACCTTCTTCCTCTCTCTGTATCCTGCTGGTTAGAATAACTTTTCCCCTCTTTTGCTGCACCAAAAGCCCTTTTGTTTTCACTTATAATGGTGGGTAGCCAGACCCAGAACTGGTGAAAGAGGTTCTGAGCCAATGACAGTTTTTTTAGACCATTTGCCCGGTAACAGGAACACTCTGAGAAATTGTTTAGGCTGGCACAGACACAGAACTGTGACAGAAACACAGCAGACACATGGGAACCCGACTCACAGCTCACCCCCGGCACCCGCTCACCCGTGCGCTAAACAAACCAGAGTCCAGGTCGGAAGGAGGCAGAAGGGTGCGCGGACGTGGCACCTTCTCCCCACATCGACTGCAGTTGAACTTGCCTAGATCATAAGGAACACTTGGAATAATCCCTTACTTTCTATCTCTAGACAAAGCATTCAGGCTGCAGATACAAAAATACAGATCCAGTCTCTATTAAAATAAACCCGCAGAGTTTGCTTTGGGGGATACATAACAAAAGACTTCCTGAAATCTCTCTCACAGATCTCATCATCGTGGGAAAGACGCCACCCCATCTCCCCTCTCCCCACCCAAGTTCCTCTTCTTAAGGCTAGGGCTGCTGTGAAAACAAGAATATTACCTCTGAGATAAAAAAACAGTAAGTCATTATCAGATAGCAACAAATGAGGAAGTTAGGAAATGGGTACAGATAGTTAGGAACATGGTGCCCCAAGCCCACTTATCAGCCTGAATAATCAGTGGGAACCAGGGGGTTGTGCCCCAAAGCCCAGGTGCCCTAAGTTCATTTATCAGTCTGACTGTGGAACAATCATGGAATCAAGAGGATGACTCCCTGCCCCCGATTAAAAATGGAATGTTCAAGGCCCTCCCTGGTGGCGCAGCGGGTTAAGGTACAGCACTAAGAAGCTTAAGCCACTTCAGCACAAGTTCGATCCCCGCCACGAGGTGACCCACATGGTGCGGCGGTCCTCTCCTGACCCGCCCACTGTTCCCCTTAGCAGTGTACCTCATCAATGTGCCTGTTCTGCTCCCCACTCTGTCTCGGTGAAGCCTCTCACTGCCCTTGCACCTCTGGCCTGCACCCCAGCTCTGTATGCATAAATAAATAAATCTTTTTAAAAATGGAATGTTCAAACCATCAACACAATGCTAAAGCAATGGCCAAACTTCGGGAAGGTAGGCCAGGTAATGTGGGAAACTCAGTTGAACTCTGTAGCCTAGGAGACCCTGAGGGCCCAGCCAATAAGCAAGACACACAGTGCTAAGACACCCACTCCTTGCCCACTATACCCATATAGGCACCTGCTTCTTACTCCTTCAGGGGCTATTCACTTGGGACCCCTCTCCACTCGGAGTGCTTTCCTGTCCTTTCTCTTATCTATCAATAAATCTCTTGCTTTTTTGTAACTCTGGTCTCCACGTTGAATTCTTTCCTTACTGAAGACAAGAACCAAGAGAGGCCGTCAAGGGCAGGTTCAGCAACACCTTACATTTAATTGTTAGATTATCATAATAACAATAATAATGGCTAACACTGAGCATTTATTCCAGGTGAGGCTTTGTTTTAAGTATTTTGTGTATTAGCTCATTTCATCCTAACAGTGAACTTACAGTAGCTTTTATTATAATCCCCATTTTACAGCTAAGGTAGTGAAACATAAATGACTTGCCCAAGGTCACATGGCTAATGTTTGTTTTAAAAGATATATTTATGCATACAGAACTGGG